CAAGTTTAACACCTGAGGATGGCGTTTTAGCACGCTAAAACACGCTAGATGCAGAAAAATTAAAGAAAAGCTTTGGTGGGAGTGTGCTTTAACATGCTCCAGTGCGTTAACACGGGCTATCATGAAGAAATTCTTCTTCAAAAAGCGCGCTAAAGTGCGCTTAACCAGTTTTGCAGTATAAGTGTAGTGCGCTAAAGTGCATTCATTAGCGCTTTAGCGCCCATTTATGACCTAACTTAGGCCCAACTTGTTGTTTTAACTTAGGGCAAGGGTTTCTAACCTATAAAAGGGAATTTTCAAAACCAACAGAGAACCTTTAGATAACTTTGAAGAGCTAAAATCTGGTTTTCATCATAGAAGCGCGTTCTTCTTGCTTTGGAGTACCAAAGACGGGTTGGATTCAAGAATACGCTGGGAACTTTAAAGATTCACTGCGCCATCACATCATTGGAGTTTGTGGAAGCTTTTATATTTTCTTGTGTTTTTGATTTAACTATGCTAGGCTAGTTTTCCTTATAGTTAGGGATAGATGAAACCCAATTAAACCTTTATGATTATGAATTGAATTTTTAATGTAATTTTTCCATTTTATATGGAATCAATTTATCTTCTCATAATGCTTTCTATAGGTTTGCTCCTTCTAGAATGATTTAGGGTGATTATATGACAATAGTGATGTTGGTACATGAACCTTGCATGATAAATTCATCACAATCCTTGTGATTCTAGGAATAGACATAGGATAATTATGTAATCTTATGATTAATGCTTATTTTCTTAAGGAATAGCCGGGGAACTAGGATTTTTTCAAGATCATAAAGAATTAGAATGTCAAGGGATTGAGTTCTAATTAATTTAGGGGAACCTATTGGCAATATATTAAGGGCAATTAATTAAGAGTTTTAATTCATAAGATTAAAGGAAAATTGGGAGAAGTCGAAACCTTAACTGCGCGTTCTTGATTGTTAAGAAACTCATTTTATCTTTGTGCTTGTTACTTTTAGTTTAATTTCCAATTCAGAATTCAATCTTATTCAATTCTCTTAGTTGATTTTACAACTTGAGCGTAAATAGTGAATTAGTGCTTGAAATTCTAATCCTCGTGGGAATGATCTCATACTCAATACACTTTATTACTTTTGCGGTCGATGCACTTGCCGAAATCGCAACATTTTCTGTTGTGTGCGCTCAGCAGCCGCAATAGATTCAGGCTGAGTAGTGAGATGGGGGTATAATTATGCCATCCAACAAAATTTGCAAATCTGAAGATCAAGAATCATAGTTCAAGTCATCCAATTTATCCACACTAAGCGGTGCAATGATATAATTGGTAAAACTAGGAGGATCTGACTTGGGCCCCATCAGAGACTCAGAAACAGAAGAGACAAGAGTTGAATCCATAATCACGAAAAATATAGACCAAAAAAATCAGAAATGACATATTACAAAAATAACCGGAAGAAGTGGGATTTATGCATCACCAATAACAAAGTCGAAACACCAAAACAAGACCAGATCCAGAACCGTCTCGGAGAAGGGAGAAAAGCCCAACCGGTCGCTGCCAGAAAGGAGCCATCATGAGCAGGAAAATCGAAGGGAGAGGCGAAGCTTCCACGCGTGTATGAGGGGCACATGGATGATCTAATGGGAATGAAACCTGGAGAGATAGAACTGCGCGGCCGAGACGAGCACAACTGTATATAGTTCGTCAGAAAAAGCCACCTGACGACGGTGGTTAACGATGGAGGAGCGTCAGTCAACAAGTTTTTGGCAGTTGTTCGCGAAGAGAAAGGGCTGACAACAACACAAAGACGACCCAAGAACAAAAGAGACATCCGAAAACTGACACAGAGTCAGTATCCAGAAAATTTTTTGAAAAGGGGATGAACAATGGAATCACCAGAGAAAATAAATGGATCAAGGTTTCTCTCATTAGGCTCTAGATACCATATAGAGAAATAAGAGGCAAAAGGAACATTGGAATAAATCCGTGTCTAATAACATAACATATGTTATGCTATATATAGAATTATTGGGTACATACAACCTGAAATACATGATTGGGACTAAGCCTATACTACTTCTATTATATGTATATACAACAATCTCATTGTAGAATTATTGCCAAGTGATGATGAGATTTACTTCAATGCCTCAATTAGGCATCCCTAAGGAGATGACAATAAGCCCTGTTGCGATCACGACAAGTGTACCGATCGTTTCAAGTAATAGAGTAGTGAGAAAAATTATCGTCCCACGAGGATTGAAGTGTTAAGTACTATTATAACTATTCCCTCTAATTTGGATAATTCAATTTGGTTATTGAGAATAATAGTTGAATTAAGATAAAAAGAATGAAACGTAACTGTAAAAACAATCAAGAACATGCAATTACGATTAAAGAACTATTAAGAAATTATAATAAAGAACTGTAGTCAGGGCACACCTCACCTTTGATTCCCCCTATTGATCTAAATTAATTCTTATAATCAATTATCTAAATGGATCAAACAATTTATTTTCTTTAAATTAGTTGGTTAAACCCTAATGTCTTAATGTATTTAACCCTTTAACCCAATTAGAATTCTAATGTCTTAGTAATTCTTCTTGAATTAAGCAATAAGTTCAATGAATTAAGAAGTCTGCAATTCAGACAAGCCTATGTCTAGATCATGCACAAATTATTATTTTACCCTAGTCTGAATTAAAACCCCAATATGTCTATTGTGAGCTCTAACCCTCAAAATCCTATAAGATTAATCAAGCCTAATAAGGATATAGATTTTTCATTCAAGGTAAGATAAAACTAATTGAAATAAAAGAATTATAAAAACAATTCAAATAACAAAGGGGTTCACATCAGATCCGTGATCCTAATTACAAAAGAAAACTAGCTAGACATATTCATGTCTGGCTTAAATAAAATAAAGAAGGAGTAGAAGAATGTCAAGAAGATGAGAAAGAAGAAGAAGAATCAATGGTTGATCAATTTCTTCACGTTTCCTTCCCTCTGATTCATCCGCCTCAGCAAGAACTTCACGAACTCTCAGTTGTTGCTCTCCAATTCTCTAAATTCTCTTTGCCGTCGAAAGATCCTCTATTAGGTTTCCTTTGCTCCATTTATATTGTGTAACAAATATCCACAAAATCTGCCAAGGAATCTTTCTTTAATTCAGTCACGTGCTACTGGCGCCAGCGCTAGAGGTGCGATGAAACAATATTGATTTTAAGCTTTGGCGTTGTTAGCGTGATACCCGTGCTAGTGGCGGGATGGATTGTGTTGTGCCAGTGCCTTTATCGTGGTATTCGCACTAGAGGCGCGGTGAAACAGGGACTTAAATCTATTCTGGCGCCATCAGTGCCAGAACCACGCTTTTGGCACAGATGAATTAGAGTGTTCCTTCATCTTGCTCTTGGAAATTGTTCTCTTTTCAATGTAAATTTCCTACAAAACACAAGACTTTGAGTAAGAGTAGGTCTGAGCATGGTTCATCAACTTTATTACTAATACGAGCTCTTTTTTATTTCAAAGTAGATTAAATCCTTACTCTTTTAAGCCTTTAAAACATTATATGCTGGAGGCATATCAAGCCCACCAAGTGCGCTCACCGTTAGGGGTCCGATGGTAATGAAATATTTTCTCTGCTTGACAAAGCTAACTTGTGGAATCTTTGTTTTCATCAAATATGGAAAATTCAGGTTCACCACCTTCAAAGCGTAAATGGTACCTGACCAAGATGCAAAATGGGAATGAAATGGTTCATGAGAAGAATTATCGGACGAACTACCTCTCTTTTGAAAGATTGATGTTGCTACAAAAATATCTAATCAATTGAAGATTTGGATTAACATCTCCTTGAATTGATTGAACATCCCTAAATTATGTCTTTTAAGTTTTCCACATGTTCATCCATGTTCGTACTTTCATATTAAGCTAGTAGATATAAAGATTTTCACTGATCTTTGTAACCTATTTTATAAGATAAATAAATAATTTTGAATATAATTGAGGGAACCTACCTCAATGCACAAGTGCTGGATAAATTATTATATGTTTTTATTCAACTAAAAAATGAACTTAAATAGAAAAACAACTCCTACGAAAAATGTCTCCAACAATTACTCATTACTCCACCTACTTGTTGACGGTAACAAGAATCATTTTTATTCCTATCTACTAACCTGAAAATAAGAAACAACACCTCTTAACAATAGAAACAACACAACTTAACAAGCAACAAAACCTAATAATGATATAAAGAAACGAGTTTGATATTTCTTATGTTGTAGGAGATACAATTATCTCTTATACATATATAAAAGTGTGTGGGGGCCCATGCAAACCCTTATGAAAAGAAAAGAGAGAAAAAGAAAATATATATTCTACACACTTTTATGTATGTGTAAAAAATAATTTTATCTTTAATAACATGAGAGACGTTAAATCCTAAAGTAACAAATGAAACATTACATTTTGTCTTTCCTAAGAATGATTTAAATCATATTTTCATCCTCTAAGTGATTCATATAAATGAGTTTTTAGGGGTACTTTTTTTTTATACTAATTTTGAACCCATAATATTATCAACTTTGAGACCATATAACATGAAATGAAGATTACAAATAAAATTTAAAATTATTTATTAATATATTAAAAGTCATATAAAGAGAAAAAAATGTCTTTAAAATCGAATATTAGATTTCATGGTCAGTCATGTTTTCAATTTCTGAATTTGGGCCATGACGAAAACGGCCTAACTTTGACATAGGGCCTGGAGAGATGATTCGGAAATTAGAAACTCACGATCATGATCCCTAACTCCCACGTGGAATATCCTAAACCACATCCAAACAAACATCCACTACCTACTACATCCACACAGAATTTCCGCAATCTCTTCATTCAATTCTGAAAGCGATAATGATAAAATGAAAACCAGGACCGAACTACCATCTTAACACATATATCAATTAAGTGAAACTGTGACAATATCTGCAACAGTCACACTCCAAAAAAACATTTCCATAGAACTACTGAAATATTTTATAATGCCATAAATAACAATAATAGGCCATAGATGAAGTGATTGGCATGGCCACATTAACCACACAACCAAGTCCTAAGTAGTAGCAAGCAAGTAATACATTTTTGTCTCCATTCTAAATTCGTGATTGGAGAGAAAACTAAGCAAATGGCATTCCCTATCCCACAGTTCATACCCTCTTCTTCATCATCTTCGTCTCTACCTCACATCCCAACATCATCGTTATCATCATCACGACAACATGTTCAAGTTCATGTTCTGTTCCGCCGTCGCCGGAACCCCGACTCGCTCCGGTGCTCGGCGTCCGACAAGAACCACCACGACGCGGTTGAGCTCCCTCTCTTCCCTCTCCCTCTTGTTCTCTTCCCTGGCGCCATCCTTCCCTTGCAGATCTTCGAGTTCCGCTACCGCATCATGATGCACACGCTCCTCCACACCGACCTCCGTTTCGGGGTTATATACTCCGACGCCGTCTCGGGAACCGCCGACGTCGGGTGCGTCGGCGAAGTCGTGAAGCACGAGCAGCTCCTCGACGACCGTTTCTTCTTAATCTGCAAAGGACAGGAACGGTTCCGCGTGAACAACGTTGTACGGACGAAACCGTACCTGGTGGGGAAGGTGACGTGGCTGGAGGACAGGCCTTCGGGGAATGTGGGAGAGGATGACGTGGAGGGTTTGGCGAGTGAGGTGGAGAGTTACATGAAGGACGTGATTCGATTGTCGAATCGATTGGGTGGGAAGGATGAGAAGGAGGTTGAGGATTTGAGAAGGAACCTTTTCCCTACACCGTTTTCGTTCTTTGTTGGAAGCACTTTCGAGGGTGCACCAAGAGAACAACAGGCTTTGCTTGAGTTAGAGGACACTTCCACAAGGTTGAAGAGGGAGAAGGAAACTTTGAAGAACACCCTTAATTACCTCACTGCTGCCTCTGCTGTTAAAGATGTCTTCCCTTCTTGATCTTGATTCAATGAATGCCATAGAGGGTGAGTTTTAACTTTTATGGAGACAAGGGAAAACAAAAGGGTATATTATAATTATATTATATAGTTGCATAGTTATTTGAATTTATGGTATATACTAGATATAGATTACATACAATTTGGAAATACAAGTTAATTGAAAACTGGCAGTGGTATGAGTATGATTACTAAACAAACAGTCAGAAAATAATCCTGAGAAGAAACAATTTATAATTGCATTAAGAAAACGCGTGATTTAAAATGCAAATTATACTCGTCAAATTATTTATGTAGACTCTGTCATTATTATTATTATTGCTTTCCGTGAATTCGAGCAAGAAAGTGCTTATGAATATTATTAGCCAGAGTGCTTCATGTTCTGTTTTAGATCAAATGTACCCTCCAAGGTTGAGATTTGTTTCATTAATCTTACGTCCGTTGCTGGCATTTATAACCAGTGCACTAAATAGCTAGTATTATGAATGCTAGTTGACTTTGGAATTTAAACGTTGCTAGTATTGGAGTCTTGAGATGTTGGGAGTTTTAGTTTAATTGTTATTACTGAAGTACTGAATGGCGTATCGTTTTTGGAGAATGGAGAATGTTGAGATTAATAAGATCAAAATTAAAGTTTATTTGTATTATACTTTTGTGGGATAGGCTGAAGAAAATTATTATGCTTCTTCCTTGGACAATACACTGTAAGAGACTAAAGCTGCAATTATTAAGTGTAACATTGAAACCAAACAATCTTGGATGAGAAATACTATCTTTTGCTCAGTTTCACTGGTTGATTGAAAGCCAGGCGTGTTATACTATCTGGTTATGGCTATTCTGTTATTGTTATTGTTATGATATGGGTTAGTTTTGCCCACCTGATAATTTATTTGCCTCTAAAAGTTTGGCAGACACTAGAAGTTGTGTAAGGAGGGTTTACCTTTTGAAAGTGCAACTTGTTTTGATTACTGACGACACCTGAGGCATCTCTCTTTTTAAACGCTTGTATCAATCAACATAATGTTGGGAACTCGGTTCTCTCAACTCGGCTTAAAAGCTTTTTCGCGGAAGTCAATCAACAAGATTCTAGATCTCAGATCTCGACAATATTATCTCGGCCTGAACTTTACCAGGTCTGACAGCGCAGCGGAAAAAATGAAAAACACAAAGGGGGGAGAGAGAGAGAGAATACAAGCAGATTTTTGTAGGAACTATTGGATTTATGCGGAAGCAATTTAGGACCTAGTACATTGGTATGCTTACCGAATCATCCTCGTTTCACAATTACCTTTTGGTGCGCAAATCTCGTGTAGAATCTTCCCTTGTATGATTCCTCTTCACGAACTGCTCACCTCAGCGCCGCAGCACGAACAACCTCCTTGTAGCTGGACTGTGGCGGATCTTCTAGACTATGTCTCAAGGGAAAATAGGAAGTATGTGGACACTCTCTCACTTTCAGGGAAATGACCCTACCTCAGCCTCTACAACCACCAAGTGAAGACTAGAGAGGCCGAAGACTAGAGAGGCCGAAGACTATAAGTGTAGAATATATATGGGTTCCAAGAAACCCTAACCCTAAGCATAATGAGTTTTAGGTTTCTTGGGCTCTTCTTACACACTAGGCCTTATTGGGCTTTAGTGAAAGAGCAAAACACAACATTCTCTCACTTGCTTTTGAGTACAAACTTGAGCCTAAAGCCCAAGTCGATGTATCTCACTAGTCGTCATCAACTGAAATTGCCCCATCCCTTATCTTGAGCTAGCCTGGGGATCTACCATCTGTTATTAATCAAGGTTCTTGATAACAAATGAATGATTATCTAATTCGGTGCTACTCCACTAAAAGCCCGAACTTGAACTCCAAGATTAATAACACTTATAACACGAATATGCATCGCCCCTTTGTAGAATGTCTATAATTGATTGACAAGTTTTCTGTAACTCAATCAATTATTTATTCCCTTGACTATGATAGTTTCTCTAATGGATTACATGCACTGGCTAGTGTCTTTAATATCCAAGTACTGAAACATATCAAGGGGACATATCCTACAAATTTCATGTTGTTTATCTCATAAATACCGATAATCAAATAATCACACTCCCAAAATATCGAGTTATTAGCCGTCAATAGATCGAACATCACCCGTTGGTAAATCAAAGAATGAAAACTATTTGATTACTTATTTATAATAAACTCAGGATTAAGAGCAATCACATAACTATAGTTAACTGGATTTTATCAAAAAAAAAAAAAACTATAGTTAACTGGAGATTTGATACTTTATGACAGGAAAATAACCTTAATCAAATCTCTTTTTGATCCTTTCAATGTGAATGTTAATTCACACCAAATTTTTCAATAATTCGGACAAAACCATTTCATAAAATATTGCAGTCTAAATAAAGTGCCTAACTTTATTTAACAGCTGTGAATCTATTCATCAATTGTGAGAACCTATGATCATGTCCTCCATGAATGTATCCATATGATCATATACTCCACAATTGATCCGGAACTTGATGTTTGTAAATAGTGCGTAAAATAAATAAATAATACCTCATTTGTAAAATTCAGAAAATGATTACATTATTTCATTGTCTTACTCCAAGAGCACAATGAACCCAATATCTCCCACTCGATTAATGCAAGTCTGGGATCCTCCTAAGACCCAAAGAAGTAACATGCCTCTCGAACACAAGTTCAGGCAAACTCTTAGTATCTGGGTCTGCAAGATCCACCTCTAATGCTATCTGAGTTTAGTGAAAAACTCATAGCTCGAGGTTGATTTCTTGAGTCAATATCCACTTGAAATAACTAAAATTGTGAAAACTCAGCTTTTCAAGACTCCCACTAGAATATACCAGCATATAATCTCTCGTTCTCCAAAGATACTTGAGTACATGCTTAACAATAATCTAGTGTTCCTCTAGATCCAGAATAATACCGTCTCACTACTCTCACTGCTTGGCAGATGTCTGGTTTAAGGCCCAACATGGTATGCATGAGACTACCTTTTGCCAAAGTATAAGGTATCCAACTCATGCATTCTTCCTTCTCAGGAGTCTTTGGTTACTCCTTAGGAAGATAGATCCTACATCTGAGAATTATAATTCTTCTCTTAGAATTCTCATGTTGAATTTTGGCAAGAGTTTTGTCAATATAAGTAGCCTAAGATGATGCTAACAATTTATTCTTTCGGTCTCATAAGAGTTTTATACCAATAATATAATTGGCTTCCCCAATACTTCCATACCAAAACACTAACTTAGCCAACTCTTATGTTTGATATTACCCCCACGTTGTTTCCAATAAGGAGCATATCATCTACATAAAGTACCAGAAAAACTATTGTCTTCTGTTGGATCCTTTACATACAAATACACATCATTCATCAAGGTTCTCTCAAAATCAAAATTTTGATAACCTGATCAAAACAGATGTTCTAAGACCTGGATGCTTGCTTAAGTCCATGAAATAGACTTTCACAACTTGCATACCGTGTGTTCCTACCTATTTGCTATAAACCCTTTTGGTTGTTGTATGTAGATATCCTGACATCCAACTCCCAAAATGAAATCTCATAACTGAGACTTATAGCAACTAAGAGAATCTGGATAGATTCAAGCATGACGTCTGGCAAAAACGGCCTCCATGCTAGCTTTAAAGGTTTTCACCTTCCTGTCCATCCTCTCTTTGCCTTTTATGTCCATATGCACCTTGTGGGTTTTATCCCTCTTGGTGTCTTTACTAGGACCGAACAGAGTTGAAATACAAGTATTCCATCTCATTGTTCATAGCTCGAGCAACATTTGATCAACAACATCTTCTAGTGCATTATCGTAACTAATAGGGATCAATGTCACTCAACTAGAGACAACTTGAGAGTTAACAAGGTTCTCTCTCACTACGAATATACTGCACTAGACCGTGTGTATTTACAGGTAGATCCAAGATTGGGTCAAATGATGGATCTTCAATTTCCTAAGGATCCACTTATTTTTGATATTGTTCTTCCACATGTGATACTAATATTTCTACTAGTTTCACTTATATATTATCATGTTCAATTTCCAATTATGGTTCCCTTGTTTGTTCACCTAGAGATATATCTTTCCACTCTTTGAACAATCAAGGGAACAACAGATGAAGCTTCTAGAGATTCTGGGAATTCTTGATCTGAGATAAGTCTCATCAAGAATAACCTTACTTAAGAGCTTACAATTTCTCACCTAGTCCTCCTTTAAGAAAATCACGTGAGTGTTGATAGCACCCACTTAGATCATCTTGTCCTTAGGAATAAATAAGATCTCATCCCTGGTTCTCTTAGGGTAACCAAAAGATATGCACTCTTCCGTACAAGATTTCATCTTATTTAACTGCTGTTGTAGGACGTGTGCCATAGCACCCTAAATTCGAATATGGTTTGATCTGGGCTTGCACCCTTTCCATAATTCTTTAGGTGTCTTTACAACAAACTTTGACAGAACCAACTTAAGAAGGTAAATTTCTTTCTCCTAGACTTCTCCCTATAACAACATTGGCAAAGATGAATAACTGAACATGGTCTTCACCAAGTCTAGAAATGTTTGATTATTGCATACTGCAACTTTATTCAACTAACGCGTTCCTAGAGTTGACAGTTATGAAAACTATCCACTCTTAAATCAGGTAAGACCTGAACTTACCAGACAGGTAGCAACACTTTAGTCAGACCAAAGTGTTTTGATTTGAACACCTAGATGCTTTTCTGCCTCAGACTTAAACCTCTTGGAAATTTCCAAAAGCTTTAGACTTATGCCGCACTAGGTTCATCTGTCCAAATTTAGAGTAATTATTCATATAATGAAGTAATCATCACCTATTCTGGCTTGAATGCTAAGTGGTCCACATATATTAGTATGTACCAGTTCCAATTGAATAGTTGTGCAAATCCTGTTGACTTTGTAGGATTTCTTGGCCATTTTACCTTCCAAATAGGACCAACATGTAGCTTATAGTTAAATTACTATTGAACTTTCAGTCCATCTTTTAACTAAACCATGTTTTCTACTTGAGGTAATCTGACTCAATCACAAAGTCAAAGTTATGTTTCAATTGAAATTTTTATTTCTTTGGTGAATGTTCTTGTTCATCATTCT